AATATGACAATTGTGCTTATGTGAAGTCTCTGGTGGATGGTTCAATGATGTATCTACTCATCTATGTGGATGACATGCTTGTTGCAGCCCGAAACAAGGAAGCTATAGATCAGTTGAAGATGGAACTCGGAAACAAGTTTGAAATGAAAGATCTGGGAGCTGCTAAAAGGATCTTGGGTATGGAGATTACTCGAGACAGAGAACAAGGTGTTTTGTGGCTGTCACAAGAAGGTTACTTGAACAAGATTCTGGAAACATATGGAATGGGAGAAGCAAAACAAGTGGCTACTCCTTTAGGGGGTCATTTGAAGTTAAGTGCAGCAACAGAAGATAAGCTAGCAAGAGATGAAGAGTACATGAAGTCTGTTCCATACTCGAATGCTGTGGGAAGCATCATGTACGCAATGATCGGAACAAGACCAGATCTAGCTTATCCTGTAGGCATTATAAGTAGATACATGAGCAAACCGATCAGAGAGCATTGGCTTGGGGTAAAGTGGGTTCTGCGATTCATCAAAGGCACACTGAAGACAAGATTGTTCTACAAGAAGAGTCCTGAATTCAAGATTGTGGGTTATTGTGATGCTGACTTTGCAGCTGATACTGACAAAAAGAGATCCATTACAGGCCTGGTATTCACGCTGGGAGGCAATACCATAAGCTGGAAGTCAGGGTTGCAGAGAGTGGTCGCTTTGTCCACAACAGAATCCGAATACATGTCATTGACTGAAGCCGTGAAGGAAGCTTTGTGGCTTAAAGGGCTGTTAAAGGAGTTTGGTTTCGAACAGAGAAGTGTAGAGATTCACTGTGATTCCCAGAGTGCTATTGGTCTCTCGAAGAACAACGTGCATCATGAGCGAACCAAACACATTGATGTCAAGCATCACTATATCAGAGAAATGATTGCTAATGGTGATGTTGAGGTTGTGAAGATTTCGACTGAAAAGAATCCAGCAGATATCTTCACCAAGATTCTACCTGTGAACGAGTTTCAATCCGCTTTGAACTTGTTGCAGGTCAGGTCTGAGTGATAAAGCTCAGGAAATCTGAGGCCGGGATCCTGAAAACTAGAATTCAAGGAGCTTCTCTCTCTCAAGAAAAACAAGAAAATGACTTGATCATCAGGTGGAGATTTGTGGAGACAATGTCTTGATGAGCAAGTCTGTTCTTTGTTTGAATGACCCTATGGTAACAAAAGGAAGTTAACTGCAGTGACTATTTTTGAACTGAGGTGAACATACTTTTGGGACCACATACATGGGGAAATGGCGATTGCTTAAAATAGAAGAACAAGAGCATTGTCTATCCTCTAAGGGCTTATTGTCGCGTGTATACAAAAGCAGTAAGTCACGCTCTGCAGTCTGCAACAGCTAAAGCAAGCAACAACTGGTGTTTAGCGTTTTGGATCGACTAGAGCAAGCGGCTGGGTCATGTGGAAGCCCTTGGTGCCTAAGCACTATAAAAGGAAGATGCTTTGGAAGAAAGAGAGGTGTGAGAAGAACTTGAGAGGTTGTAGAGAGATTTATAGCTAAGAGAAAACCGTTTAGTATAAGCTTTGTAATAGTTTTCTTGGTACAAGTAAGAATCAAAGAGTGTCTAAGTGCTAGTGAAGGGCATTAGGCGGATCTCTTGTTTCTTCTTGTTGTAAACAGCTGCTCTCTATTGATTCTAGTGGATTCCGAGGTGAGCCTCGGCGAGATGTAGCGTCCTTTAATGACGTGAACTCGTTAAACCTGCGTGTGCTCCTTTTCTTTCATTTTGTTACTGCATTTCATCATCTCTGCAATCTTTTTCCTCTGTTTTAGAACTTTGTTCTTGAGTGTGTTCTGTTGTCTGTCTGTCAAAGTCTCAGATCTTGGTTTGTTGTGTCTCAGGCTAAAGAAAGTCGACATCTTTAGTTCTTTGAGTCCTAACAGTTCTTCCTTGTAAAAGCCCTGAAACAAGCCATTTCCAGACTATGAAGGCGATTGGACACACACAAAACAAGTTATCTCTAGTCTCGTTTCTCTCTCCTCATAGAACACAGTGTTGAACCAGACCCCATTGTCTCATCTTGCTTCCCTTAGCAAGTTTGTCTCTTATGGCTAACCACATAATGAATGCATGATGAGAGATAGATTGCGAAAACCAAACCAACTTGTTCCACCAAACAGTCTGCCGACGCTCTCTATTCTGCTCCCACGTTGCTCGGGTGGCAAAGTGGTCTTTGAAAACATTCAGATCATTGGCGCCATAATACATTATCTGAACCTGCAAGAGGGTGTGGTACCAGAGTAAAAACAATACTGCTTAACATATCTTGCAGGTGTGTGCCTCTGCAACGTGGAATCCTCCAGGTCTGATTCTGCATCGCTGCAGAAACCATAGCGTGACGATCGATTCCCAACGTTCTTGTTCCTCACTCACCAGTAATATGATTGTATGAATGAGCATTCCCAAACCAAAAAGAAGTAGATTCGCCATTCCTGATTTCATGATGGATAAAAGGTGCTTCAAGCAGACGAAGCTTAAAAAAAATTTCAGCCTCGAGATCCCTCTAAAAATATCCCAAAAATGCGAATAAGGGGAGGAGATAATGTCCAGTCCAATTGACCTATTGATTAACCCAATTTTTACTATTTTTATGGATAGTTTTTTAATATCATATCTTATGCAGTTGTTTTAACTATATTTTCAATGTTTTTAAATGATTTCTATATTTTAGAGTTTTAAAAGACTTTTCAGAAAACTTAGACTAAAAGAATGCATTTTGGAGACAAATACATTTTTGGCAACAAATGATGACCTGCTCACAATCTAATTATCCCTAAATTTGAAAAAAATATAGAGGAGACAACCAGTTTTCTAATGCAATTGGTTAGGACACAATCCAACGGTTAGATCTCCAAATATTTCCGATACACTGAAGGCATACGATATAGCTTCGAAGATGAAACAACTTCTCACCAGCGGCCAGGACATGTTTCACCGCGGCCTCGACCCCTGCACCTGCAGTGGGCCTAATTTTCGATCTTGTGGAACCTATTTAAAGCCAAGTTATTCCCATCACTTATTCTGCAAACTCTAGACGCCCCCAAGAGAAGAAAGACTATAAATACATTTTTTTCGGTCTTTTCTTAAATGTCTCTTTTCATGCTTTAGAATAGAGAGCATTTTTAGGTTTAGATTTTATTTTTCTGATTTTGTAGAAAGCTTTCTAGCTAACCTGTTCTTCAATAAGAGAAGCTTTTCTTCTTCCCTTATCTTTTTTACTTTACTGTTTCTTTTAAAACAAATGATGATGTTAAGCTCAACTATGTCCGCGTAGCTCCCTTGTTGGATATAGGAGGCCATCGAAAGGGCTCTCATGGTCAGACAACATCTAGGTTTTTAGACTAAGGATTTTGATATTTAGATGGTTCTTTCATTCATTCTATATTAATGCATGTATCATTGATTGATCATCTTGCATCTGATTCTTATGTTTAAACAGAACCACGACAGTGTTGTATCAGCTTACCAGATTTAGAATCGAATGAGCAAAATCGCTTTAGGAGGCCAAAGCTACCTATAAAGTCCCGTTTTAGAATTGCACTGTCTCCTGCAAGGCCAGAGACGAAAGCTACTGGTTGAGTAGATATGCAATAGTTGGTTAGAACATACGAAGTAGGCTAGTCATACCAGTGTCCATTCTAGTCCCAGAATCATAGAAAATCCCTAGATAGTTATTTGATGTTGTCAACCATAAACCTTAGAGAAACCCCTGATGCCCAGCGATTTTAATCAATGGTTTTACATTTTTGCATACTAGTTTATTACCTTCTTAATTTATTTACATTCTTCATTTACACAAACTGTGACAAACCCCCTTATATTTTGGATTAGGTTTAGAATCATCTTAGAATCTGTTAGAAATCATCAGCTGATGTGTGTAGCAGATGCAAACGGAGTGAAGAAAGGATGTGACTGAAACATGACAGCTTTGGCACCAAGTTAATGCGTGCTTTGGGCTGCGAAGGTTCCTGACAACAGTCTAGAACAAGACTAGAACAACCCTTGACAAAGTAACCGGATAGATAGGAAGATACGAGATAGATCACCACAACTCATAAAGCCGCACTAGAGTTGATAAAGAAACCCGTTCGAGCTAACAACACACCTGGATAAAGTTACCACCACCAGATGATAAAGACGCTCTAAATCCACCACCAATGGCTCTTCCAAAACCAAAAGATAAAAGAAAAATAATCAAAAAGATCACCAAGGGGTCACAAAGACACTCCAAATTCTCAATACTCAAAAGTGTGCTTTATTCCATGATAATAAGCCTTTTTATATAGAGGATACAAGTTATTTTCGTGCATAGCACTTGCAATAAATGTAGACTACTTAAGAAATCAAGAAAACATTTATTAGATGTATAAAAACTAGAGAAATTGTCTAAAATAAATGCAGTCTTGACTGATGACGAAAATAAATGCAGTCTTGACTTCAGGTGCTCTTGCTGGCCTCTTGAACTTTCTCTTTGTCTCTCGAACTCTCCTTGGACAATAGGCAACGAAAATAAAACTGATATAGGCACGGAATCACACCGATGCTTAGTGATCTCTTGATAATCAAAAGCTAACAAGCTTTGTGCGGAAGTGGATATGAAGGTGGGATGGAAGGTGGTGGATTTGATTGACTCACTCAATCTGATGATGATAGACTCTCTCTATCAGGTGATGGAACAAACTACTTGAATCACACAAATAGTTTAATCCAAAAATTCTAATGAACAATGTGAATCACACACAATATTCAAAAGAAACAACTCTTACAAAGAACTCTCTTTGAAAAAAACGAAAATGCTTTTTATTTAATATTGAATGGTGATTTGTACAAATGATATAATGAGCTTTATATAGAGCTCTTACAACGTTCTAAAGTCTAAAAAGAAGAAATGAAATCTTAGCAATAAGAGAATATAGCCGTTGGAGCTATTATGGCGAGAATCGGCCAAAGTAGAGGAAGTGATGTAGCCTTTGTATCTGGACGGTTTGAGGGGATAGGTGAGCTTCTCTGGCACATTAGTTTCTTCATAAAACACGTCCAAGTTGTAGCATTCAAGAGAAAAGAGCCGTTGGTGAGATATTCCTCTAAGTGTGAATGCATCTATATATGGCAAGTGAAGTTGCAGAAGGATCCGCCTGATCCTGTGGGTGCTGGTGCATGGGAAGGTGTTTCTAAGCTTCCTTAGTTGCCTTAGAGTCTCTCCTGGGCGCCAAACCCTTGTAGATAGTGAACTAAACCAGTCAGAGCTCGGACCTGCCATAAATGGAACCAAGTCAACCCGTTTTGGGAAATTGGGTGTAACTTGAGGATCCAACGGGCAATTCTTCGGATCTTGAGCTCGTTGGATCAAGGAAAGACCAAATAATATTCTCCAAGTAATTTTGGGCTTAGAACGTGGATGAGTTGGGCTGTAGAGTACGATCTTCAGCCTAGCTGCGCAATTGGGTCTGAAATGGATCTTCCAACTTGTAAAGTGAATAACTTCCCAACCATAACCGGTATTGGTTTGATTCCAATTGTCTCCGATTCTATGATGAATCAAGAATAGGGAACAAGTTGGTTCACAGCTTAAATCCTTCTGGTTCAATCGGAAACCTTCAATTACGGCACATATGTCCAAATCGTGGAAGTTAGACATCACCTGATTTGTAAACTGAATAACTCCTTCTTCTGAGCTCCAATTCGACTGATTCCACTTCGAGGCGTTCACTGAGTGAGATAGAAATGTAATACAAGTGTTGGTCGAGCTGGACCACTTGATCTCGGACTTCATCAGTGCTGAATAAGGCGCATGGGTCTTCTTGGGTGGCTTGAACATGATTTGGCCATGAGTTTGAGTTGATTCTTGAGAATCTTCATTTATGGGTCGACTCAAAAGTGTTTTGGCTCGATCATATCCTTCATTGATGGCATTTGGTTGGTGAAACTCCAAGTTTTCATCCCTGCTTCTGTTGGGCTCGCCTTTATGCTCCATTGTTTTCTCCGGTTCAGCTTCTATAAGGCATCTCTCGGCTTCAGATGGGCCGTCTGGTTTGTCTAAGGTCATTGGGGTCTCTTTGTGATGGTTTGCTGGGTCGATGACCACATCATACCCTCTCCCTTGGAAAAGTTTCGTCCTCGAAACTTCTTGACCTTGGGGCATGGTTTGCTTGCAGCTCGGATTTCGGTTGTGTGGGGCATCTGGTGGTTCTTCTTTGATCAGAAACCAAACAATGACGCCTCTGTCAGGTCTGATGCTGGCTTCTTTGGGCAGCAAGTCATTCACCATGTCACACTTTGCTTCTCCATTGATTTCTTGCGGTTGTACTTCTTGTAGCTCCTCATCATTTCCTGCAAGTACCTCTTCTTTTTGGACAAGAAACTAGTGTGTTATCATAGTCAAAATATTTGTACGAGCAATGGGACATGTTTCTTTTTGGAACACTCGTTTTAATCTAATTTTCATGTCCGGTTCTATATATGATATGCATTCTAATAGAACTTCTTTTAATTTGACTTCTCCTGGATTTGATGAGCCTAGCACTGAATTCGGATTCCTGAATGGTGATAAATGACTACTTACCTGATCAGAACTGTCGTTGAGCTCTGTTTCTCTCATTGTCACGGCTTTTGGATTCATCATGTAGTCTGGTGGTTCTTCTTGGATTGTAATGAAGCTGGTGGCAAATTCATCTTTCTTAGTAGCTGCCTCGTGGTCTACTGCCTCTACAGTGTGATCCACTTCATGTTCTAGACCTGCAATATAAACCTTTGGCAAGGACAAGTGCGTTAGACTAGAATTGGAAATTTCAGAATTCAACTTTTCTTTTTCTAATTCTCTAGCTTCTAATTTTTCTGATGCAATTGATGAAGTAGTCCTTGATTTCCTAGTTGGGCATAACTTAGCAAAATGTCCCCTTTGATGACATCTATAACAGATGGTTTCATCTACTTTAAAGGCTTTAGAAGGCTTACATTGCTTTTCTTTACCTTGAGTCTCATGCTTCGGTTTTGTGCTCTGTGTATGGGCTGTGTCGGGTTCCTTTGGGGCTGGCTTAGCTTCTTTTGTTCTTTCTGGCTTCTTAACCTCGGTCTTCTTCTCCAAAGTGTTCTGGAGCGCTTTCTTTGGAATATGAAAGCAAGCTTTCTCCAACTTGTGCTTAGAAACAGGCTGTAGTTTTGGTGTTGGTATCCAGCTTGTAGTAGTTGTTTGAAACAGTGACCTCTTAGGGGTATAGCTGCGGTTGTGGGACTTCTGGACAAACTCCCTGTACATAAGCTGCTTGATGTTACCCCAAGTGAAGGCCGAATTTTTGTAGTTGGCCAGAGCTTCTTCTTGTATCCACCATGTAGAAGCTTCTCCATTAAGTGAGTTAATGGCGTAGTTGAGTCTCTCTTCCTTTGGTATGTTGATGGACCTAAACCAATGCTCCATATCATTCTCCCACTGTAGGTAAGCTTCTGGACCTTGATTATGACCTGAAAAATAGATGTGGTGTGGCTCATAATCTGCCTCATCATCTGTTGTTGCATTGTATGGTTCGTGTAGGGTGGTGTTGTTGTTGTCTGCTTTGTTTTGATCTTGTTTCTTCTTGTCATGCTCTGACTTGTCAACACAATCTTCTTCTTGCTCAGACTCGTGATCCCAAGGCTCATCATCACCATCAAAGCCGTCACCATCTCTTGAGCTGATTTCAGAATCAGTTATTTCGCACCATGGCCTTTGGTAAGGTTCTAAGGTTTGGCCTTCTTCTCCATGAGCGAAATCTCTATGCTCTGAGTCGTCTCTGCCTTCTGGCTCCGTGTTGTAGTCTCCTTCGTGATGTTGAGACTCAGTTTCCTCCGGCCAAGTGTCTCCTTCCTGGTCACCTTCTACACCTTCTTCTCGGTCTGTCTCTTCATCTCTATACCAAGCTGATTGATTGGTGTTGACTCTGCTGTAATATGGTGGGTCTGGCTCAAGCTCTTCTTTATCAGACTCTTCTCCATAGTAAGAACTTAAGTCGTCATCTCCTGGCCACGGTGGAGACTCATAATCAGCCTCCTCATCAGACAAGACTAAACTCTCTTCTCTTTGACTCCATTGGTCTCCATCAGATTGGTACTGATCTTCTTCTTCTGATTCAGCCATGGTGGCTGATTGAGTTGTTCCTTGCAAAATTCAAGAAGAACCAGGCGTCAATATCTTCACACAAGAAAAGGAAAATAATGATCCAACCAATAAAATAAGGAAACAAATTTTATGGCTAATTTTTCAAACAAGTGACTTAACAATTTTAATTTTTTTTTTTGTACTTTTCTTTGTAAAAATGGAAATAATACAAAAACTAAAAATAAAGAGACATCAATAAAAATAAATATTTTTTTGGATTTTCTTTTTATGAAACAAAATTAAATAAAACAGATAAATAATTTTATTTGGTTTTTGAGTTTATAAAAGAAGTCAAATAACAAAAACAGTGAAAACAAATTGAAACAAGTTCTTATGAGTTTTTAATTTTATGACGAAACAAAAACAGAAATAACAAAAAGCAAAAGATAAGAACAAAAGCACTTTAATAGGAACTTGTGCTCTGATACCAAATGATATAGGCACGGAATCACACCGATGCTTAGTGATCTCTTGATAATCAAAAGCTAACAAGCTTTGTGCGGAAGTGGATATGAAGGTGGGATGGAAGGTGGTGGATTTGATTGACTCACTCAATCTGATGATGATAGACTCTCTCTATCAGGTGATGGAACAAACTACTTGAATCACACAAATAGTTTAATCCAAGAATTCTAATGAACAATGTGAATCACACACAATATTTAAAAGAAACAACTCTTACAAAGAACTCTCTTTGAAGAAAACGAAAATGCTTTTTATTTAATATTGAATGGTGATTTGTACAAATGATATAATGAGCTTTATATAGAGCTCTTACAACGTTCTAAAGTCTAAAAAGAAGAAATGAAATCTTAGCAATAAGAGAATATAGCCGTTGGAGCTATTATGGCGAGAATCGGCCAAAGTAGAGGAAGTGATGTAGCCTTTGTATCTGGACGGTTTGAGGGGATAGGTGAGCTTCTCTGGCACATTAGTTTCTTCATAAAACACGTCCAAGTTGTAGAATTCAAGAGAAAAGAGCCGTTGGTGAGATATTCCTCCAAGTGTGAATGCATCTATATATGGCAAGTGAAGTTGCAGAAGGATCCGCCTGATCCTGTGGGTGCTGGTGCATGGGAAGGTGTTTCTAAGCTTCCTTAGTTGCCTTAGAGTCTCTCCTGGGCGCCAAACCTTTGTAGATAGTGAACTAAACCAGTCAGAGCTCGGACCTGCCATAAATGGAACCAAGTCAACCCGTTTTGGGAAATTGGGTGTAACTTGAGGATCCAACGGGCAATTCTTCGGATCTTGAGCTCGTTGGATCAAGGAAAGACCAAATAATATTCTCCAAGTAATTTTGGGCTTAGAACGTGGATGAGTTGGGCTGTAGAGTACGATCTTCAGCCTAGCTGCGCAATTGGGTCTGAAATGGATCTTCCAACTTGTAAAGTGAATAACTTCCCAACCATAACCGGTATTGGTTTGATTCCAATTGTCTCCGATTCTATGATGAATCAAGAATAGGGAACAAGTTGGTTAACAGCTTAAATCCTTCTGGTTCAATCGGAAACCTTCAATTACGGCACATATGTCCAAATCGTGGAAGTTAGACATCACCTGATTTGTAAACTGAATAACTCCTTCTTCTGAGCTCCAATTCGACTGATTCCACTTCGAGGCGTTCACTGGGTGAGATAGAAATGTAATACAAGTGTTGGTCGAGCTGGACCACTTGATCTCGGACTTCATCAGTGCTGAATAAGGCGCATGGGTCTTCTTGGGTGGCTTGAACATGATTTGGCCAAGAGTTTGAGTTGATTCTTGAGAATCTTCATTTATGGGTCGACTCAAAAGTGTTTTGGCTCGATCATATCCTTCATTGATGGCATTTGGTTAGTGAAACTCCAAGTTTTCATCCCTGCTTCTGTTGGGCTCGCCTTTATGCTCCATTGTTTTCTCCGGTTCAGATTCTATAAGGCATCTCTCAGCTTCGGATGGGCCGTCTGGTTTGTCTAAGGTCATTGGGGTCTCTTTGTGATGGTTTTCTTGGTAGATTACCACATCAAAAACCCAAGAACTGAATGTCCACGTCCTTAGATGCCTGGATGGACTAGAAAAACATAGTAATAGCCAGTCCATTCTGCTTGTCTTCCCCTTGTGCTATGACCTTATCTTGCTCACATGCTCCCACATCAGTTCCTCCGGGTTCAAAAGGATTTGTCCTCAAATTCAGTAACTCTTCATCCTCAAAGTATAGAGAAAGATCCCCGACATTGAAAGTAGCTGAAACTCCATAGTCACCTGGAATTTCAAGTTTATAAGCATTCTTACTAAACTTCTCAAGTACCTTGAAAAGACCTTCTAATCTCGGCATGAGCTTACACTTGCACTTGCTTGGGAACCTCTCCTTTCTCAAGTGAAACCAAACCAAATCTCCTGGTTCAAAGGACTTAGCATGCCGGTTTTTGTTGGCTTTCTTCTTGTACTTCTCATTAGCCTTCTTAATCTCAGCACGAATATTCTCATGAAGCTTCTTCATTGCTTAACACGTTCTGTTGCTTTATAGTTTGCTTTGAACTCACAAGGTAAAGGAATTAGATCACGAGGAGTAAGAGGATTCAGACCATACACTACCTCAAAAGGTGAACGTCTTGTAGAGTAACCTATTGATCTATTGTAAGCAAACTCCGCCTGAGCCAACTTCAGATCCCATTCATTCAAGTTCTTCTTTATCAAACCCCTCAAAAGTGTAGTCAAAATTCTGTTGGTTACCTCCCTTTGGCCATCAGTTTGTGGATAACAAGAAGTACTAAAGAACAGCTTAGTACCAAGCAGTTTTCACACAGTTTACCAAAAATAGCTCAGAAACTTTGAATCACACGATCAGAAACAATGGTCATTGGAACTTAATGAAGATGCACAACCTCCTTAAAGTACAAATCAGCAATATAACTTGCATCGTCAGTTTTGTGGCAGGGTATGAAATTCGCCATCTTCCTGAACGGATCAACCACAACCATGATGGAATATTTGCCTCTCTGCCTCCTAGGAAATCCCACAATGAATTCCATGCTCACATCATTCCTAGGTTATGTAAGACCAGACAAAGGAGTGTAAAGTCCAGGTTGGAAATAACTTTTCATATTCTTTGACAAGTTACACACCTTTCCACAATAATATGAACGTCTCTGCCTATCTTTGGCCAAAAGAAATGCTCCTGCAGCATGTCCAACGTCTTCTTGATTCCAAAATGACCAGATAAGCCTCCTCCATGTTTCTCACGAATCAACAACTCTCTTATAGATCTCTTAGGCACACAGCTTGTTTCCTTTGAAAAGAAATCTGACTTGTAGCTGACCTGATTTGAAACTCCTTTCTTGCACTCATTATAGAGTTGCTTAAAGTCTATATCTCCATTTTACAGCTCCTTTAACATCTCAAATCCCAAAACCCGAGAGTACAAGATAGAAATCAAAGCATACTTCCTCCAGAGTGCATCAGCTACAACATTTGTCTTCCCAGCCTTGTACTTTGACACAAATGAGAAAGATTGTAGAAACTCTATCCGTTTAGCATGTCTATTGTCGAGCTTGTGCTGGTTGTTTATAAACTTCAACGCTTCATGATTAGAATGGAGAACAAACTACCCTGGTCTCAAATAATGTTCCCAATGATCAAGAGCTCTCACAATCGCATAAAACTCCTTATCATACGTTGAGTAATTCTTCCTTGCTCCCATGAGCATTTCACTGATATAAGCAATAAGCCGTTGCCCTTGGACAAGAACAGCTCCTATTCCCACGCCACTTGTATCACACTCAACCTTAAACACTTAATTAAAATCTGGAAGCGCTAAAACAGGTGTTTCATACAGTTTCTTCTTCACCACTTCAAATGCCTTATGTGCTGTCATGCTCCATTCAAACTTATCTTTCTTCAAGCACTCAATGATTGGAGCCATTATAGTGCTAAAATTCTTCACAAAACGTCTGTAGAAAGAAGCAAGCCTATGAAAGCTTCTCACGTCAGATTGTGTAGTCAGAACTGGCCAATCTCTCATTGCTTCCACCTTGCTTTCATCCACTGAAATCCCATCTCATAAAATCACATATCCAAGAAAATCAACAATAGAAGTGAAGAATGAACACTTCTCGGGCTTAGCATAGAGTTGGTTTATGTGTAATACCATAAAGACCTCTCTCAGTGCTGTGAATGATCCTCCCTGGTCTTGCTAGAAACCAGAATTTCATCAAAGTACACCACCAAAAACTTCCCAATAAAGTTTCATAGTACCTGATTCATCAGTCTCATAAACGTGCTAGATACATTAGACAAACCAAATGGCATCACAAGCCATTCAAAGAATCTGTTCTTTGTCTTGAATGAATTTTTCCATTTGTCTCCTTCTTTCATTCTGATTTGATGATATCTACTCCTCAGATCAATACTTGATGGTATAGGATATTGATACTTGATGGTAATCTTGTTGATAGCTCAGCTTTCCACACACATCCTCATTAAGCCATCTTTCTTTGGTACATATAGAACTGGAACAGAACATGGACTCATGCTCTCCTTCACATAGCCTCTAGCAATCAGCTCTTCTATTTATCTATACAGCTAATTAGCTTCCTCCAGGTTACACCTATAAGCTGGACGATTTGAAAGAGGTGCACCAGGAAATAAATCAATTTGGTGCTCAATAATTCAAATAGGAGGCATATAGGATGGTAACTCTTCAAAAAACACATCACCATACTCGCTCATCAACTATTGCAGTAATGGATGTGTACTCATCACTTTTCTCGACCACCAATAATGCAAACACCTCCTTACCCTCACCAAGCTTCCTTACAACCCGTGACTCACCCAAGAAAAGACTTTCCCTACAGCTCTTTTCTTTCAAATGCTCTGTTCCTCCACACAGAGTAGGAATCAATGGCGCCAACGTGATATGCTTTTTATCCTTATGAAAAGAATAAGTATTCCTGTACCCATCATGCGTATCTCTCCTATCAAACTCCCAAGGCCCAAGTAATAGATAACAAGCATCCATTAGAATAACATCACAGAGCACCTTATCTTGATAGT